CCTGCAAAACACCAAAACTACATAAGAAATGACTCATAATGTTTTAAAAGATGAGCTAAAGTCTATGTAATTAGTATCAAAAGTGCCGTATTTGTACGACACATCAACAACCCCAACTTAGACTCTTGCTTGCCCTCAAGCAACTAAAAAGTCAACCTACCAAATACTAATATACTTCCAACTGATCACAAAGCAGCAGTGACTATGGATGGTGTTGACTGTTAGCTAACAAGCATGAAACTTCTTTTATTCACCCTTCTTTGAAGACAAAGATCATTAATCAGTTCGAATAATCAATTTGTGAACTTCGAGCCTCGAGATCAATGACAGAATGCTACCCACAGCTAGATATGCACTTGTATCCTATTTCAAGAAGCCTAACTTATGCTAAATATTGCAATTCATGCGTGCTCACATCAAAGAAAAGCCCCAACTCAACATATATGCACAAGGGATACAATCAAACACTCTTGCACTCAGGAAGAAGGCTAAGTGCTACAAGTATCAGTCCATATGCTTGCCCTTGTTTTAACTCATTGCTATCTCATGAATAATTCGTTGTAGATCAAAAAGGACTTTTTAAGGGTTGTAGTATAGGCTTCGGGACAGGTTGGATGAATATTTTGGAATATAGTGACTGTACCCTCCTTGAATGCTACCGCATATTTTTTTATTTTTGCATTTTGCTTCTTTTTGTTTTGCCACATAGTCCTTGTTGACCACTAGTACCAACATGGAACCACCTCAAAGTACCTCTCTAATTTTTTCAAAACTCCATATATATATATATATATNCATAACTTTGAGGTATTTGCTTCTACACACAATGAACATCTTAACCATTTCCCAATTGATACCAACACCCCCAACTTAGTCTTTTAGCCGCATTCTCAACATTCAAGGAGGGACGAGTTCAAAAGAGGGAATTATTTCACAAAAAGATAAATGTTTGTAATGTAGTAGCCAAATAAAAGGTTAAAGGCTCAACAGAGATAACTATGTTTATACATGCACCAAGGAGGTCAATTTGGTCAAAAAACTAGTTAGCAATCACAAAGAGAGCCTAAGATCATTTCGACACCCAGTCATCAACCTGAGATTTGCATTGAGGAAAGAACCGGGCAAGTTCTAGACATTACAAGTTGAGCACATGCATTATTTACACAAATTCTCACCACTCACGATGCATGAACTGTTCGAATCGGCATAATTTCAGCTCTCAAGTGAATGCAAGGCAATTCAATGCTTCATCACATGATATTTGAGATTCTTAGTAAGGACAAAGTTAAAGAACGAGCCTCGATTTCTCAAGAATGACTACCCGTTTATTTACAAAATTAGAAGGGTGCAATGTATTCCACAATAACTTATCACTTGCTTGAATCTAGAACAAAAGCACCAAACAAGTCAAAATGTTTTATGCTACGACCACGGTTCTACTATTACACCTTTGGAAAAAACCCAAGAGGAATTCATTATTATATACAAATCTCCATCATTAAGACTAAGAGTTTATATACAAGTTTCAAAACTTGACTACCCCACCCCAACTTAAGAGCATGCATTGTCCACAATGCATTGAGAAAGTAAGAGCAAAGTTTAGGGGCTTCCTGGGGCGCATTAGGCGCTTGGAGAGGTTGGAACATTTGAGGCGGCCATGGGGGCGGGAGTTGACACTGTGGAGGCAGTGGGTGGATCCTCTAACAATACAGTGGGTGAAATATATGAGGCAGTTAGGGGGTCAGGAGCTGACACTGTGGAGGCAGTGGGTGGAGCCTTTGACTAGACAATGGTGTCCGAGGCCAAAGTAGGAAGGTCCGCCAGTTGCAGAGTTGGGTCCTGGACCTGGGAGCTGCTGGCCTCACCAGATGATGGCTGTGTGGTCGTGGTAGTAGCCCTGGCGACCATATCTGCAAAGGGAGTGTGCGATAGCTGCCTGCACATCTACTTCCACCTCACGCGGTGCATTTGTAGAAACGGCAACCTGTTTGCCTCTGTTGTCATTATGATCATCACCCTCCACAAGTATCTCATCCTCATCAATTTCCTCACGAGACTCTCAATATTCCTCATTTGAATGATCGTCGATGTTTACAACGGAACCCAAAGCTTGTGAGATGTCAGTGTCATGTGCCTCCTCAGCTGACAGAAGGTCTGTGAAATCCAGATCGAAGCTTGGTACGTGGGAGGTGCCAGTGCCGTGCTCCTCTTCCATTGGAAGAAGGGTGGTCAAATCAAACTCCAGTGTCTGCATCTTATGCAGCCCTGACTTGAGCTCAGCTACATCTTTTTTGAGTTGAGGCATGTCCCCAACTTCACCTTGGTCAACCTTCTCAAGGCGAGCTTTAAAGTGCTTGAGTCGATCCTTATATGATAGATGTTTCTTCTGATGATCACTTACTGAGGTTTGGATCGGGGCCAATGCTTGTCGGATGAGCGATGGAAGTTCTTTTGTCAATTTGTCTACTTTGGCATTTGCATGTTGTGTTAGTAGACAAAGCTTGGAGAGTGCAGGCAGTGAGGCAGGTAGTGTCGTAGTGGCTGATCTGGAGTGGATGTGGAGGTAGCTGGTGCGGAAGAGGTGTCTGGCACTGATGAGGCAGCAGGTGTTGCTAAGGCAAAAGAGTCTGGAGGGAGAGTGAGTGATTGCTCTGGTGGATCTTCGATCATTTTATCCGCAGCATCATTGTGCCGAGTGATGTCAATGTCCAGAACAGCCTTTTCTATGTGGTCATGTTTGGGCAACAGAGGAACCATTGCGTCTTTACACAAAGCATGTATTAAGCATGGAAAAGGGAGCGAGGTTTCTTTTTGGTTTGCCCGGATCCCAATCTCAGGGAATATTAGCTCTACCACATCAATCTTGATACCCGACATGATGCAAGAAATAAGGATCGCCTTCTCGATACTGATGTCGGTCTCATTTCTTGTAGGCAATATACGAGAATAGACAAAACTTAGCCAATACCCGACCTTCTTGAGTGAATCCCTCTTGTGAATCTTTTGGTGCGGTGCAATCCAGGGCGGAGTTCACTTGGCTATGACAGAGGCTACCCAAGCACGCTCATATTCCTTATTTGCAATCTTTGCCTCATATTCTGCCATGCCTGCTCCCACTCTTCGAAATATACTTCATTGATTAATGGGGAATCACAGAGTATTTCAACTCCTCAGACTAAGACAGAGTTCAAGTATTTATGTTTTCTCTATGTTCTGAGTTCCTGGATGTAGCATAAAACTCCCTAACAAGTGTCTTGTTGTACTCCCCCGGAACCTTAATGAAGAACTCACATGCCCTTTTTTGATGTTTTCGAGCACATGGGGGTAGTGTTCTTTAAGAATGTTCAAACTCAACTGCTTTTCTTCGAGGATCTTTCGTTTTGCCAGGCCATCTCTATACAGAGTCCAAGTGCCGGTAATCCTAAACCTGAGATCTTTACCACTCTTTCTGCGTGCTTTGTCCTGGAGGTCAACTAGTGGCATAAGGTCAAGCTGTACCTCCTCATCTTCAGACTGGGAGGTAGGCTCAGATGAATTTTTGGATGTGCCGGGCCTTTTGTGTTGGGATTGCTGTGATTGTGGGCTTATAGTTGCAGCCCTTTTCTTTCCTCGAGTGGTGGGTGTTCGCGATGCTAAAGATTTCTTTGGTGCCATTCCTGCCAATTAACGAGGAGTTAGTACAAGGTAGGGCATGTATCATATGCTAGAGCACTTATGCGATCGCAGAACAACTCTGCTGACCGCAAACCACAACGCAGAAGATAACCATCAGAAGTGAAAAAGAATTATGCGGGTCGCAGAAGTGGTCACAGAACAAATTTGCGACCGCAGATCGGTCACATTTTGAACTTTGAATAAAGCTTGATTCTGATTAGGACTGCGATTATTGTGCAGTCCGCAAACCATTTCTGCGGCCGCAGACTCAACCGCATATTGCCTCTTAGAAAACTCTCAAGCATACAGAATGCGATGACTCTACGGATCGCAAAATAGTTATGCGGACCGCAAAGATCATCGTCTCTACTAAAAAATGCACTCACATGTAACCTTTATGCACACTCAGTACCAAATGCTCAAGTTGTAAGAGAGAATTACACACACTCAACATCAAATCGATTTCATGCTCAGCCTAACAATATTTAATGCAAATTGTCACAAATCACAAACCCTCATACTCGACCCACAACATATATTTCACCCCAAAGTTGATTCCAGTACAAGAGATAAGAAGTTGGGTAGATAGAGAAGGGTATCATGGATAAGAGGGGAGAATGAGGCGTGTGAAAACACATGACAATCTTGATCTTAACTGAGTAAGAGAAATGTTGGAACTTTACATACCAGTTGACAGACGATCGAGCAAGCCACTTTGGTGTGAATCGCGAGCAGGGTGAGCCTTTCTTTTCAAATTCCTTTTATTTTTCTCAATGTTTTTCTTTTGCGTTATGTTTCATGCTCGGGTGTGTGAGATTAGAGATGATAGATGGAAGTGAGAGACAGAAAGAAGTAGGGTTTAATACCTGAGGATTTTTCGGTAAAACGACCATCGCATAACATTATGCGGCCGCATATGTGTTTTGCGATGGTTTAGTACCTAGGTGGTGCGCAACAGATTTGCGATCCACTCTGCGGTCGCATAATGATTCTGTGGTCTGTAGAAGTTGAATTTCCTCCGCATTTTTAAGGCCTAGTTTGAATGGTGTTTTGCTTGTGTCTGCGACCACTATGCGGTCCGCGAACCCTTTATGCGGTCGCATATGTTGCCACAGAACAACAGCTAAAGCTCAGCTTATTTTCCTTCATTTTACCTCTGCCTTTGCATCCTATTTCTTTGTATTTTGGGTAACCTGCATTCTAAAACACACGGCAAACTGTTCAACACTTACAAATAAACCTACCAAAATTAAAAGCTAATCAAAAAATTGTTACCAACACATGGGTTGACTCCCAAGAAGCGCTTGATTTAATGTCGTGGCACGACGATGTTGCCCCTATTTTGGCTAATCAGTGGTGGGGATTGGTACATGACCATCCTTGATTGCGAATCGTTCTACCAATTGCCTTTCTCCAATGGTTCCGAGGTAATTCTTTACCCTTTGGCCATTTACTTTGAAAGTTCGAGTCCCGTCCTCGGATTCTAATTCAATAGTGCCATAGGAAGACACACTCACAACTTTGAACGGGCCAGGCCATTTGGATTTGAGTTTGCCCGGAAAGAACTTCAATCTTGAGTTGAAGAGTAAGACCAAGTCACTATATTTGAATTCCCGCTTCAAAATCTTCTTGTCATGAACAAACTTCATTCTTTCTTTATACATGGTTGAATTCTCGTTTGCATGGAAATAGAACTCTTCCATCTCGTTGAGTTGTGTCATCCTTAAATTAGCAGCTTCGGTCCAGTCAAGATTTAACTTTTTCAATGCCCACATGGCTTTGTATTCAAGTTCCACTAGCATGTGAAAAGCCTTACCAAAAAGCAATCGGTAAGGTGAGGTGCCAATGGATGTCTTGAATGTTGTTCGATAGGCCCACAATGCATCATCCAGCTTCTTTGACCTGTCAGTTCTGTTTGCATTAACAATTTTTGCTAGAATAGTTTTGAGCCCCTGGTTGGAGACTTCAACTTGACCGCTTGACTGAGGATGATAAGGGGTAGCCACCTTGTGCTTAACTAAATATTTTACGAGCAACTCGGCAAAAGCTTTGTTGCAAAAATGAGAACCACCATCACTAAGGATGGCCCTTGGGGTTCCAAACGAGTAAATATGTTCTTCTTCAAGAATGCGGTTATACTTCTTGCCTCATTGTTCGGCAAGGTAATTGCCTCAACCCATTTGGAGACATAATCTACTGCCACCAAGATATATGCCATGCCGTAAGAACTTACGAAGGGACCCATGAAATCTATCTCTCACGCATCAAAGATCTCTACCTCCATCAAAAATTTCATAGGCATCTCATGCCTTCTAGAAATTGACCCTTGTCTTTGACATTGATCACATGCCTTGACCATTTGGTTTGCATCTTGGTAGATCGATGACCAATAATAGCCACATTCAAGCACTTTTGCCGCAGTACAATTTCCACCGTGGTGACCCCCAACTGGGGAGTCATGACATGCTTTGAGAATTTTAATTACTTCATCGTATGGAACATAATGTCGAATGATGTTGTCGGCGCAAATCCGGAACAAAAAGGGTACCTACCAATAGTATTGCCTACACTCCCGCAATAATTTTTTCTTTTGATAAGCTTCCGATCCATCGGGGATAAGGTCATTAACCAAGAAGTTAGCGATGTCGGCATACCAAGGAGTGGAGGTGCAAGATATTGCTAATAAGTTCTCATATGGGAAATCATTATTAATTTCAAGATCTTCTTTTGGTCTCCCTGCCTCTTCAAGCCTAGATAAGTGATCTGCAACTTGATTCTCTGTTCCTTTGCGATCTTTGACTTCAAAGTCAAACTCTTGTAACAAGAGAACCCACCTAGTTAATCTTGGTGTAGCAACCTTCTTCTCCATAAGGTAGCGGAGAGCAGCATGATCATTATAGACTATCACTTTGGATCCTAACAAATAAGCCCTGAAATTTTCAAAAGCATAGACAATAGCAAGCAGTTCTTGCTCAGTTACAGTTTAATTCATATGTGCAGCATTGAATGTCTTGCTTGCATAGTAGACAGGATGGAGAATCTTGTTATGTCGTTGACCAAGTACTGCTCCAATAGTTACACCACTGGCGTCACACATGAGTTCAAATGGAAGAGACCAAGCGGGTGTGACAATAATAGGTGCCGCGGTGAGCCTTGCTTTCAATTCCTCAAAAGCTTTGAGGCACTTCTCATCGAACTCAAACTTAGCATCCTTTTCAAGGAGCTTCCATGTGGGACTTGCAATTTTTGAGAAGTCCTTGATAAATCGCTTGTAAAAACCGACATGCCCCAAAAAGCTCCGAACACCCTTTATCGAAATGGGAGGAGGAAGCCTGGAAATGATCTCAATCTTTGCCCGATCAACCTCTATGCCTTGCTTGGAAATTTTGTGGCCAATAACAATACCCTCATCCACCATTAAGTTACATTTTTCCCAATTTAGTACAAGATTTGTTTCCTCACATCTTTTGAGCACTTGCCTAAGGTTGGCAAGGCAATGCTCAAAAGAATCACCAACTACAGAGAAGTCATCCATGAATACCTCTATGAAGTCCTCCACCATGTCCGAGAAGATTGACATCATCCATCGTTAAAAGGTAGTCGAGGCATTGCATAGCCCAAATGGCATGCGGCTAAAAGCAAAGGTTCCATACAGACATGTGAATGTCGTCTTCTCTTGGTCCTCCAAGGCGATGTTGATTTGGTTGTAGCCGTAGTAACCATCCAAGAAGCAATAAAATGACCTCCTCGCTAGCCAATCAAGCATTTGATCAATAAAAGGCATAGGGAAATGGTCCTTGCAAGTAGCACTATTGAGCTTCCGGTAGTCCATGCAAACTCTCCACCCGGTCACCGTCCTTGTTGGGATGAGTTCATTTTTGTCATTTTGAATAACGGTCATACCCCCTTTCATTGGCACACATTGCACCGGACTTACCCAAGGACTATCGGCAATGGGGTAGACAACCCCGACATCCAACCATTTTATGATTTTTTTCTTCACCACCTCTTGCATGGAAGGATTTAACCTTCTTTGATCCGCCACACTAGGTTTGCTCTCGTGCTCCAATTGTCTCTTGTGCTCACAAATTCCAGCGGGAATCCCTCGGATATCTGCTATAGTCCAACCAATGGCCTGCCTTTGCTCCCTCAAGGTATCCAATAAGTGTTCAACATGCACATCATTCAACAAAGACGAAACAATTAAGGGTAGAGTTTCGTTAGAGCCAAGAAATTTATACCTTAAGTGTGGCAGAAGTGGCTTGAGCTCAAGTTGTGGAGGCTCGATAATTGAAGGCTTAGCGGGAGGAGTGAATCTATTTTCTAAGTTAAGAGAAAGCTTCTTTGGTGCATAAGTGTAGGACCCAAGCCCTTCCAATGTATTCACCGATTCCACGTATCCTTCCATGTCCTCACCCTAGAAATTTACCAAAATAGCCGCCAATGCGTCACCAAGGCATTCCTCTTCCATCTTCACCTCGACTGCATCCTCTACCTCATCAACAACATCAATGACTCAGATACTCTCGTATGCATGTGGCAATTTCATACCCTTACTTGCTTGAAAGGTAACTTCTTCGTCATTTACTCGGAACTTGATCTCATTTCGTTCTGAGTCCATGAGTGCCCTCCCGGTAGCAAGGAAAGGTCTCCTCAAGATGATAGGGATCTCTTTATCAACAGCACAATCGAGAATAACAAAGTCAGCGAGGAGGAAAAACTTACCCACTTTCACAAGTACATCATCAACTATACCCACTGGTCGCTTTATTGAACGGTCGGCTATTTGCAACCTCATAGTTGTAGGGCTAGGCATTCCTAATCCCGCTTGCTTGTAAATAGCAAGGGGCATTAAGTTGATGCTATCCCCATTATCACAAAAGGATCGTGCAAAATCACGCAATCCAATAGTGCATGGAATGGTTAAGTCCTTCAAGTACTTAGCAAAAACTGGCATCTCTTGAAATGCTTCCACAAATGAAATGTTCACTGATAATTGCTTAAGAATGTCATAGAACTTTTCGATTTTGCTATCATCAACCTTTCTAGCTAGTCTTTGAGGGAAAGGAGGAGGAGGTCTGGGAATTGGCGCTTGAGTTATTGGTGCCTCTATTGACTTTTCCCTTAACCTATTCATGGTTCACTTCTTGAGTTCTCACCTTCTTCAGGAGTCTTTCAACTTCAACAACATTTGGCACCTCAACTTGTGACTCGACTTCTTGTTCAGAATCTTCCACTTCAACCACTTGTTCATTCTCTCTTTGTAGTAGTTTCCCACTTCGAGTTGTGATTTCCATACAATAAAAAGTTGGACCACTTGCAATTGTATCACTTGGGAGCGTGCCTTTTTGCTTCGAATTTTGATCTCTTGAGAGATCCCTCATTTGCATCTCCAACTTTTGAATAGATGCGGTGTGAGAACCCACAAGCTCGGTCATATTTAGAACCTTGGTAGGGTTGTCTTTGATATCATCCTTGAGGATTGTTGACATAATTTGCTTCTCCGTACTCCTCATTTGACATGAATTGCACATCTTTCACCACATTCACCTTTTTTGTTTGGCTTTCAGTGAACATTTTCGTCAACACGTTGGCATTGGTGGCAAGCCCGGCAATTAGTTGATTCATTTAACTTCTAACTTCTAATACTTGTTAACCACTCTTATACACCCTTGTAACATTTAAGACCAACATGATTAACTTCTTATCATTTCAAAGATAATCTCTTCTCGGATTTACGTCGACTAACTTACGACGTGATTTAACATACGCGAATATGGGTTGTAACATTTATATTCAGTGAGCTGATGCCTACCGCACCACTTTTGCTTAGATTAATGTATTTCAGAAACTCAGTCCAAATACTAAAGATTCTGAAGTTAATGGCCTGTTTTTGTTGACAAGATTCATGACAACACTGAATTAGCTAGTACGTTTATTTGGATTAAGGTTTCATTATGAAATTTAAGTGTAGTACACATATTTAATTAGTAAAAAGAATAAATAGAAATGATTCTTTGGCATACTCAAGGTGGAAATTTAGCGAAGTACTTGTGCAAGAGAAAAAAAAAGAATTTGCAAAATTGTTTGTAAACTTGTATCCACTACCTTAAACTCAGAAAGGTAAAACATGGGATTATGGTCGTAAAAGTTCTCGTTACTTTTCATCTCTCTTTAGAAATGACTGGAATGTTTCATGGGAACATTTTTGCTACAAGGTTTCTTTTTTCTTTTGTTGCATGGGCGAGGTGGTAATTGTGGGCAAGAAAGGTGGATATATATGTGCAATGGTGTCAATTCACACCCTTCGCCGCGAAATTATATTGTGTAGCTAGGTAAAAATTTATTTTAATATATATATATACTATATAATCACTCAACTTGGCTTCTTCAGGAGTTTACTCCTTCATCGTTTGACACCCCTTAATAAAAATTTTGACTCCGTCACTGTTGCTAGTTAGTTGGAGAATTGCCACTCGAACCGGTGAGACAGTAGCAGTTCGGGTCAAGAAGTAATTATAAGTGCTCTAACAGTTTAAATTTTTAAATAAAACGGTCGCACAATTGAACATTCAACTTCTTCTCGTGACCAAGCGAGGCTTCTTTATGTTAAATTTAATTGGCGCACTTTGGCTTCATCCTCTTGATTGATGTTCCCTGGTATTTTAGCTTTTTGCGGCCAACTCATTACTAAGATTTGTCGAGTCCCACCTCACTCATAGTCTTCATGCATTTCTTTGAGAATTAAGTTTCAACACTTGTAACTACAACATAGGAAGAGAATCAATAACAGAACTCCAGCAAACTTAGGTTTTCCTTTTTTCCACCTTCAATAACTAATATTTTACACAGTTATGGCAAATAAAGAAGAAATGGAGGATAATTTTTTGAAAACCATATGACATTTTGAGTTTGACCTTCTACTATTATTACCACTCTAAGATTTTGTGCATATGGTAATAGGAGTAGAAAAGCAGCATGTGCAATCATAAAAATATACTAAAGAAATCTCTCAAGAAAGAAGACTCCCTGAACTCCTCCCCCAATGATATTTGTACCAAAAATATCTCAATACCAGAAATAACAGAAGGGTAGTAACAACCTAGAACTGCATCAAAGGAAAAAATATTGTCAGAACGTCATAAGGCAATTTCTACCAAAATTTATCTCTCCTCCTTTAAGAGAACTAATCTGTTAAAACAACAAACCCATTATTGA